GTACCACCTCAGAAAAAAATTGTCTCTTCAAGTACCACCAAAATGAGCAGTATTGAAATAGAGTAGCGTAGTAGGCCCAGTAAAGCAGCTACAACTCTGCAAAGTTAAAAAACGTGGCAGATTACCTCAGAAATATAGGCTAAATGTCATATATGGCACATTATATACATCATTTTTTGATCAATTTTAAAATGTGTGTAGCATATACATGACATATTTCATTCCTCCGCGTACCACTAGAAGGAAGCCTGCGTACCACTAGCGGTACACGTACCACAGTTTGAGAACCACTGCACTAGGCTATTGGCACCAACAACATAAAATACCTTTGAGCTGGGACTAGCTCATCAAGGAAAATGTGCCAGTCAAACAGAAGGGTTTTGTAAAAAGTTGGCAAAGCTTTGGCCCGTTATTTTCTCACCAATGCAGAGAATGAGCCCACAGTGCCACATTTTAGTCAGAATTGGATCAAAAGTGCTTGCCATCTGGGATATTGGTACCAGTAAACATGTGAGAAAATGCTACAACATGCCAATTGTTGCTCACATAGCAACATTTTACATAAACACCCTTGCAACATGTGTAACCCCGCCGGGCCTACGCCACCCAACCTGGTCTTGAACCGGTGACCTTCCGCATGGGAGTTGTTTGCTCTACCAAGGAGGCTAAAGACCATGGTCTCTAGCGTCTGTCTCTAGAGCACCTTTAGAGGTCAGAGGAGTGAGGTTTACCTGCACGGCACTTACTAGCTGGCCTCTGCTACACATGCAACATGCATATTGCTAAAACGTGCTAGCAATATGTACGTACTTCATACTAGCAGCATGTTTTAGCAATGTGTGATGAACATTAGTAACAAACTAACAATGTGCTTAACAAGCTAGCAATGCTAAATACAATATAAAAAATACAATATAAAAACTCTTAAAACAGCTACTTATTAGCTACCAACAAAGTTCTAAACTTCATGTAAACTTTCCGGTCTGACTTTCTTAAGTCAACATCTAGTTTAAATGATATATATTTGGCTTGTATTTTCATTTGAGTGGTAAAAAAACAAAAAAAAAACATCTATTTCGAGAAAGGTTCAAATAATAAAAACACATTTTCCTCACTCTACAACCCATCAGGCAGAGTGATTATATCATGCCTGCATGTTGAAAAGCCAAAATTTAAAGTCATATTGCATAGCTATAACAAACTTCCTAGATAGCATAAGAATGTGGGCCACTTTAGGCAGTTATGCAGCACTGCAGCACAGGCCCAGACAAAATGACATGAAAATAGAAAATTTACAATGGCAAAGAGGGTGCAAAAATTTTAATTAATATATGGGCCATTTAAGGCAAAGATTTGGCACTTGTACTTTGCACTTGGCACTTTTGGCAAAATGTAATCTGAATGTGAGCCTAATGTGGCCCATGTGGGAAAATGATGAATTTGGCCTAAATGATGGAGTACAAATGTGGGCCACAGTTGGCAAAAATGTGGCATAGTCATTTAAGGGTAATCTGAGTCTAAACCTAAAGTGGTTCACATGTGTAGTGCAAATATGGCCCAGTTATCTTAAGAAATATGTGTGCCACTTTTGGCAAATATTTGGCACAGTAAGCTCTGGCTATTGCGGCTCTGAGCCTAATGTGGCCCAGAGAAATATAGCAAATGTAGCCCAGTTATTTTAAAACATATGTGGACCACTTTTGGCAAATATTTGGCACAGTAAATTCTGGCTAATGCAGCCGTTAGTTCTTAGTGGCCCAGAGACGATATGGAAAATGTGTCCCAGTTGTCTTAAAACACAGTTGAAGTCAGAATTATTAGCATCTCTTTAATTTTTTTTCTTTTTTAAATATTGTATATTCTAATGTGTAGGCCAGATCTGGGCCAGAATAAGCGCAAACTGTGGCCCAGAATAGGGTCAGTTCTGGTTCATTTGGTTCAATTCTGGCTGATATGTGATATTGCTAAGGCTTAATTGTGGCTCAGATCTGGCAAACAGAAGCAGACAGCACAAGAGCCATCATTCCATGCGGTTAGGGTTAGGGCATGTGAGCCAGATGTAAGTGTCTGGTGTGGGCCGGATTTGAGCCACATGAATTTTGTTGGGTTGTTTTGTATACTCTCAAAGGAATTTACATTAGCTGTACTGCAAAGTCAGGGTTCAACGCTAAGGATTTATTCCTACTGGCCCTTTCAAAAAAGAAGTTAATAGATATTTCTTAAGCCCCTTTCACACATACAGACCTTTCCGGAAAATTGCCGGTAATTTTCCGGAAAGGTTATATGTGTGAACAGGTCCTTTTTGAAAATACCGCTAAATTCGTTCTGGCTATTTTCCGGAAAGAGAAGTTGTAACATTACCGGCAATTTGCCGGAATGCTGCGCTGTGTGAATGCAGAAGGAAGATTACCGTAATAAGCGCGTGCACGTCTAGAACGTGCTGACGTGAGACGTCTGCTTTAGTCAATCACAACAGTCAGACGCATTTACGTGCGCGCGGTTTGTGAGAATAAAAACCTTTGAATATTTTTCCAGACACATTTAGCTGCTAGAAGTTAGTCAGATCACGTTTATATGTTCTTCTTTATGTCAACTGTGTAAATAATCATCGATGAGATGCTTATGATAAGCCGTTGTTTGTTTACCTTCAAGCTTTGCGTGTGCCTGTGAAACAGCCTGTGAGCGCCTGCACACGCACATATTATGAACATCTCGACATGAGAAAGTGATCCTGCGAAAGTTGTTCACAATATTGATCATCCGCAGAGTTTGTAATTTAGTCAAATGTTTACAAATACAAGCGCAGCCGTTTAAAGCTCATTTGTGGTGAATGATGTCAGAATTTACCGGTATTTTGGAATGGATGTGTGAATGCTCTTTTCCGGAAAATTTCCGTAACGTCCTCGCCTGTGTGAACAGCGCTTTTTTGAATATACCGGTAAAGTCGTTCCGGAAATTTTCCAGATATTTACCGGTATCACTGTGTGAAAGGGGCTTTAGTCACATATTTTAAATTATATGTCAAAAGCCTCTAAAACATAATTGAACACATAAATATATTATAAGCGAAAATGTTTACTTTAATTTTTGACACCCACACACATCGTCAACAAAAATAAATCAGAGGTAAGACTTTCTCATACATAGCCTCATTTCAGTTGTCAAGTTTTGTAAAAATCAGTTAAATTAATCAATCTATTAAAAATAATGTTGGCTAGAATTATGCATTATAGGCTTTAATTATAGAGAGTTATAGCAGATGAACCGAGACTTCAGTCTGATCATGAAGCAGATCAATGTTGATCTTTCTTTCCAGGTGTCAGTGGTCCCTTTCACACAGTGATACCGGTAAATATATGGAAAATTTCCGGAACGACTTTACCGGTAAATTCAAAAAAGTGCACACATCCACTCCAAAATACGGTAAATTCTGACATCATTAACCAGAAAGGAGCACTAAACGGCTGCGCTTGTATTTGTAAACATTTGACTACAATCACAAACTCTGTGGATGGATCAGTATTGTGAACAACTTCGATGAAAACATATAGAGAAACACTTTCGCATGTCGAGATGTACATGATATGTGTGTGTGTGCTGGCGCTCACGGGCTGTTTCTCGGGCACACACAAAGCTTGAAGGTAAACAAATAACGGTTTATCATAAGCATCTTATCGATAATTATTTACACGGATGGCATTAAGATGAGCATTTAAACGTTACCTGACTAATTTCTAGCAGCTAAATGTGTCTGGAAAAATATTCAAAGGCTTTTATTCTCATAAACCGCGCAGACTTGAATGCGTCTGACTGTTCTGATTGGCTAAAGCAGACGTCTCACGTCAGCAGGTTCTAGACATGCACGCGCTCTTTCCGGCAATCTTCCTTCTACGTTCACACAGCGCAGCATTCCGGCAAATTACCAGTAATGTTACAACTTTTCTTTCCGGAAAATAGCCAGAACGAATTTACCGGTATTTTCAAAAAGGGCCTGTTCACACATACACACCTTTCCCGAAAATTGCCAGTAATTTTCCGGAAATGTCTGTATGTGTGAAAGAGGCTAATGTGCAGAAATGACCTGAAAAAACAATAGGCCTAATACAAACAGCACTTAGTATATTTAAGCATAGTTTCACTTTCATATTCGAAATGAAACCCATCTTTAACCAATAGGAATGATGACGTCCCGTCCTACTCATGATTCTCTCTTCAGATAGCCATATATATGGCTATTACACAACCATAATACACTGTGATATCGCTTTGCTTTCTTACTACAATCGATTCTGCTTCAGAGTTCAATCCAGCCAAGATTCAGGCGATCTCAGACAGATTGCTTTGGTGCGGATCCGAGTATGATTGTGGGATTCACGTTTGCCAAGTGAACCATGCTAACTAGGCAAACGAGACAAGAAAGCGTTCCGAAACAAACATCTAGGTGTGAAAGCACCCTATTTGCATGCAACTGACAAACAGTTGCAGCCAAATTAAACTTTAGGCGGGCCAGTAACAATCCTGTCTACTGTCTCGGGCATCTCGAACAATGGGCAACGAGCAATCCTTAATGTCGAGCCCTGAAGATGATGCATGTTTGTAGATTTGACTTATGTCAGCAAAGGATCATGGGGGAGGGGGCGGAGCATGCACTGGCCAATTTTATAAAAGACAGACAGATAAGCTAACAGTTGGTGAATAGATGTGACTCTGCAAACATTCAAAATCAGGCCACTTACATGTAATTGTAACAGATGGATAAAGCAGTATATTGTTATTGGAATAGAAGGTACATGCTGTTGGAATGAACACACATGCTTATAAATCTAAAACATGCTTTTCTTTTGCAAGCAGCCATCATCATCATGCCCTGACAGTTTAACAATGGGTGGGAGGCTGGGAGGGAGAGCGGGCAGAATGTTAATCCATATGCGTTGTGTTTCACAATGTTTAAATGGTGTTTGCTGAAACTTTCGAATGACAGCATGCACAGAATGTGGAGTACAGATGCATGGATCAATCACGCAACACATTTTTCTGGAACAGGTTCATTTGTGAACTCATGGAAATGCAGAACATTCTGATCTGAAACGCTGCCCTGGTTTAACACTGAAACTCATAATTACATCGAGCACATATAAGGTTTTGTTGTTGTATCCATTGGTGACATAATGGGTCTTGCTCGTTCACCTTTGCCACCAGACTTGACGCCAAACAAATCACACACTAAAGCTGAAAGTTCCCAAGGAGACTCCAAAGATGGCCAAGCCTTCAACAATGACACATCTTTACTTCTTTTAACCTGGTGTTTTATACAGAACCACTTTTGACCGCGACTTATTGGCAGGTAAGAGTGCAAACTTATTCAACAAATTTGAAGCCTGTGAGGAAATCTTCCTACAAGCTTCTCATAGGAACCAGAGGGGTTTTCAGGAACAATCCTTTCTTAGGGTTGGGCCAGATGAAAGACAATGTATGCATCTCTTTGTTTGATGGATAATTTAAGGATTTACAGATGGTGTGTGTTCGGTAGGAGCATGGGAATGGTCTAATGAGGGCCCTTCTCTATGTATTTTCCCCTATTCTCAAGATCACATGATACATTGCCAGACTTTCTAAAAAAAAAAAAAGCTTCTGATTGAACTCTGAATGTAATTCAGTGTAGTATGATGTCAAAGCAATTCTCTGTATTTTGTCAAATCAAGGCAAATATTTTGACAATATATGGTGAGCATATGGATGCGTGCAAAGCATAAAAACAGCTACAATTCAGTTGTCTTGGGGAGGTATTGCTTAACATTCTTTATAATGTTTAAAAGGGTCTTGAATTAATAATCAGAATTTCCTTTTGACATTTTAGAACCCAAATCTTAGGATACACTCACACAATATTGGTTTTGCTTTCCGTTTTTTAAGGTTTATTTACAGGCAACATTGCAGAAATGAACCCTGTTGGGTCCATGTACCATCCGTTAATTTGATTATCCCTTTTATTTTGGAAAACGAAACACCAGAAAAACAGTTTACATTTTGTATTTCTGTTTATTCTGTAGGCACAAAAACAAAACAAAAGCTCATCTGTTATCCTGTTTTTAACTCAAAACGGAGACTTAAAAGAAAGATAAAACAAAAACAAAATAACGAGGCATTTATTCGTTTGATCAAAAAATGAACACCAAAAAAACGAGATTTCAACGTGTGGGCGTGCACGAGACGGAGACGCCCTTTTTCTGCCGATTGATCAATAGCTATGAGGCTGTAGGATTTAAATCAAACTTTGCTTATCAACTCATACATAAAACAGGTACGTATACATCTATAAATTGCTCGCATTTACACCTACACTATTGAATGTTCAAAACAATATCTGAATCTTGCGTATACATAAACTTGATGCATGCATTCACCCACATACATGCGCACATACAAACTAGATCTGTGCATATGCGCCATAAAACTCTTGCATATGAATTTAACCTCGATGCGTGCCAAATAACACTCATGCAAACATACACAATAAAATTCACGATTGTATATGCAATTAGTTTTGAACATGCAAGGGATTTCATATGTCTATGTGCATAGACTTCTCAAAAGTCATGAGTTTAAATGGACGAGATCATTATTTATCATACAAATAATAATTAATAAGCTTATGAAATAGAAATAATCCAATTAATAGAGGAATTACATCTGGTGAATAATGAAAGTAGATTATGCTAAATATAAAAACATAAAAAAGATAATGATAGGAATGCTCCAGCAAATTCCTTCGTTCATTAATTTTTTTGTCGGCTTGGTCCCTTTATTAATCCGGGGTCGCCACTGCAGAATGAAATGCCAGCACGTTTTTACGCAGCGGATGCCCTTCCAGACATAATCCATCTCTGGGAAACATCCACACACTCATTCACACACACGCTTATACACCATGGACAATTTAGCCTACCAAATTCACCTGTACCGCATGTCTTGGACTGTGGGGAAAACCGGAGCACCCGGAGGAAACCCACGCGAACGCAGAGAGAACATGCAAACTTCACACAGAAACGCCACTGCGTTACTACGTCACCTTACTCCTGCAAATTATAAAGTTTTATTATGCAATTAAATTATTAAACTACCTCAAGACATGCAATTTATAATTGCAGAAAACTGTTTGGAAGCATTAAAGGTGTCTAGGAAGATGTCCAAAATCTTTACACGCATTAATCCAGAGACTGTTCATGTCACTGATAAGAAAATGAAGGATGTTTACTGTATGAGGACCGGAATGGCCTTAAAGGGGTGGTCCACTACGATCTCATATTTTAAACTTTAGTTGATGTGTAATGTAGTTGTGTGAACATAAACAACATCTCTGAATGTAAAATGTTCTAAGTTCAATGCAAAGGGACACCTTGGTTTTTACAGAGTTAGCATAGCAAAGCCTACAATTAACAAATTTTGGGGACTACAAAAAATACTTCCACCTCCTGTGAGATCACAAGTTCGTTTACTGCGCATCCCACACTGCACAGGTAAGGGCCGTGGCCAGAGGCACTGTAACATTACAGCAGAGATGAAGCTAAAAATGCGTCTAAACACAGCTGTTTCCACAGAGCTTCGTCTGTTTCTGTATTTGGGCTTCCAAAGGACACGACACAACGACAGAAGCGCCTTTAGTTCAATATTAATTATGTTCCAGAGAATTATGAAACACACAGCAAGCATGATTTGACAAAATAGCTCCAGAATCTCTCCCAGTTCAGTGCTGGAATTGGGTAAATTCTCCTCAAAGCAGAAGTTGTAAGCTACAAGTAAGTGTTTTTATTTGTTTAAATTGATCATTACATGTACAGTGTCTAGCGTTAACGGTATGCCGTAGCAATGATGTAAACAATGCGAAATGCTGCTTTGCGGGCAAATGATTGAGCTACAAATTCATATTTATCAGTCAAACTGCTGTAAACACACACGCACACGCACACACACACACACACACACACACACACACACACACACACACACACTCCACCAGCACTCCGCTCACTCTCCGCCTCTTTGCTCTAGTTTGGTATCCCGCCGTGGGTGCGTTGACGCGCGAACAAAATGGTGACTGTTGGCCGCGCCTATTTGTGGCTTCTTTTGTTCTCTTCAGAAACCTATGGATGACGTCACGGATACTACGTCCATATATTTTACAGTCAATAGTTTACGCACACACACATCTACAAATTACATTTAAATGCATCAGCTTTTCACAGCAAAATATTCACTACTCACTACTCTTAAGTAGTTTTAAAAGGGCTACTTTTTACTCATACTTTGATTAATATTCACAACAGATACTTTTACTCGGCCGCTAGCTCTCTGCAACTCTCACATGGTTGCCCACTGAAGCTAAGCAGGGCTGGTCAGTACCTGGATGGGAGACCACATGGGAAAGCTAGGTTGCTGCTGGAAGTGGTGTTAGTGAAACCAGCAGGGAGCGCTCAACCGGTGGTCTGTGTGGGTTCTAATGCCCCAGTATAGTGACAGCGACTCTATAGATTACCTGGTGAGTGGTGTCTTTCGAATGAGATGTTAAACCAAGGTCCTGACTCTCTGTGGTTGTTGGCAGAATGGCCTTCGAATAAGAGTAGGGGTTTAACCCTGGCATTCTGGCCAAATCTGGATGCGTGCCAGGGGGAAATTCACCGCAATGTGTAAAGCACTTTGTGTGTCCAGAAAAGAGCTATATAAATGTAAGGAATTACTATTATTATTATTACTCTTCTTGCAAGTAATAGTATTTGAGTTTGATTTTTCAGCACTCTTTCCCCCACCGCATATTAGTATATATATAGTTTGGGCACAATTTATGCAAATGACGAACACAATATATGTAAAAACTCCTTTATAAAACTCTTTTTAATTAGCTTAAAATTAATTAATTAATAATAATTTGTTAATATTTTATCAAGTTCATCAATGTGAATCCTCTTTACAATTTGTAACGGGGAGACTGACACGGAGGGATCCATTTTGCAGTATTTATTAAGTCACACTCAAACATCAACAACACGCACGGCTGTGCGGACATACAACATACACATCAAAGGAGACTTAGCAGATAACAGACGCAGTGTGATTACCAGGCTTGGGTCAGAGGCAGGCAGCGTGATTCAGAGTCCGAGGAAACAGGCTTTGGTCGAGGGCAGGCAGAAGACAGAGCAGAGTCGTGAAACGGGCTGAAGTGGTAAACGGGACATCAGGCAGGATAGAACGCTCAGAAATGCTGGCCGGGGCTAAACAAGACTTCGCACTGAAGTGTGTGTGTGAGCTGCTTATATGTGGTACGTGGGTCATTAGTGGAATGGATAACAGGAGTGCAGGGATCAGGTGAAATGGATGACGTAATGGTTAGAAGTCCGGAGATGGTGACCTCTGCTGGTCAGCGAGGGGAATGACTGGGACCGAGTCGGTGACAGAGCCCCCCCCCAACGAAAGGGACCCTGTTCACCGGCTGCCACCTCCCTATCCGCCTCGGCTGGACCAGCAGCAGGCTTGAGCAGAGAGACATGGAAAGTGGGAGAAATACGAAAATGATTAGGGAGTGTCAGTCTGAACGAAACAGGAGATATTTGTCTTTCAATTTGGAATGGACCCACGTACCTGGGACTGAGCTTCTTGCAGGGCAGTTTGAGGCGTAAGTCACGGGTGGAAAGCCATACCCATTGTCCTGGGGAATACATGGGACCAGAACTTCGGTGTCGATCGGCTTGTTCCTTGAAACGCCGTACGGCATGAGAGAGGTGAGTGTGAGCTGCGTTCCAGACCTCTTCGCAGTTTTTAAACCAGGTATCCACAGCGGGGAGTTCAGAGGTCTCGCCGGACCAGGGAAAGAGAGGAGGTTGGAAGCCCAGTACGCATTGAAATGGAGTTAATCCAGTAGATGCCTTTCTTAGGGAATTTTGAGCATATTCTGCCCACATGAGAAATTTAGCCCATTCACTCTGGTTAGAGTGACAATATGTGCGGAGGAATCTGCCAATTTCCTGGTTCAAGCGCTCTGTCTGCCCGTTGGATTGGGGATGATAGCCGGATGTTAGGCTAATATTAACCTGGAGATTTTTGAAGAATGCTGACCAGAGTCGGGATGTAAACTGGGGACCTCTATCCGACACGATGTCTTCGGGGAGACCATAGTACCGGAACACATACTCACAGAGTAACTCGGCTGTTTCCATGGCTGTAGGCAGTTTGGGTATGGGAATGAGACGGCAGGATTTAGAAAATCGATCTATTACTGTGAGGATGGTGGTTTTGCCTTGTGATATGGGTAGGTCGGTGACGAAGTCGATGGCGATGTGTGACCAGGGACGG